CCCGGACAAAGCGGATGACGATGGATGGATGGATGGACTTTGTAACTGACAGTCGAGCAGGGAGATGACATCAGGGTTTGATGCATGTTCGCTGGTGACGGTCGATCAAAAGGTTAAAGTAAATCCATCAAACAAAGGGAAACATGTTACAGTCACGTACCTGAGATTCCTCTCTTCAGCCAGCGCGGCTCCTCCAGCACGATGAAGAAGTTTTCATGTTTTTCATATTCTTCATCATCAATTATCCTCACCTGGAGAGTTTGACTGCACACACACACACACACACACACACACACACACACACACACACACACACACACACACACACACACACACACACACACACACAGAGAAAACTGTCAGTTGCAAACACATAATGAAGTTAAGCACTTCATCAATAGGTGATTTTAGCACTCGGGGCGCCTTCACCACAGGTCGTCCTTGTTAACGACGTGTTGCCATTGCAAATCTCAAGGCCTGTGAACTAACACACACACGCACACACACACACACACACTGCAGAGGTCTGCCCTGCTGTGTCTGTTCAGGACCTGCTGCTGTGTAAATCAGAGCAGGAGGAAACCAAATGCATAGAAAGGACACAAGTTCAATAAGTGAGTTAAAGGTGGGAGCTAGGGGAGAAAACTGCAAGACAGATTAAAAAGACTCACAGAGGGAAACTATTAGTAGTCAGAGAAATATAATGAATAAGGATTGATGTCATGGATGATTATGCAATTATCAATTTCTAAAATACAGCATTTTAAATATTAAAGACTGCATTAATGTTAAATAATGGGACTCTCACTTGGAGTGTATCTGCTCACAAAGCATATGGAGATTTCAGCTGAATATTTATGACTTCTCCAACATGGCTGACTGGTTTTCAGAATCCATACCAAGAGAAATTAACTTTGCACTGAGGAGAAAAGAAGCCAGACACTAAGAATAGGAAAGAATCAAGCAATAGTGAGGCAGAGGAGCTTTAACACCATAATGACAGTGAGCGTTTGAGCGGTATTAGAAATGATGGGTTTATTTTAGAAGAGAAGAAGTGAAGGTGAAGTGATGATGACAAGCCCCGTTAAGGTCTCTGAGGACTGCCGGACTGAAATGTCACCACAGAGAGCGACCTACTGAAGGTAGAAGAAAATCTAGTGTGACAACACAGAGGAAGAGATGGAGGAGGAGAGAATGAAAATGAAGGAAGACAGGACAGGTGTGGAAAAAAGAGCGAAAAGGAGAGGGAAGAAAGATGAACAATAAAAGTGTTTAGTGTAAGGAGATCGAGATATGAGCACGAATGGATGGAATACAAAAGTATGTATTCATTAAAGAAGGAGCCATGAAAAGACAACAAAGCACTCCCTCATTCACAAGGGGTCACCGCCACGTGTAGCGCCACATGTTTGATTTTGCAGCTTTTTACACCGGCTTCAAAAACCCCAAAGGGCTTTGTGAGAGTCAACGAGGGAGAAAAAAAGGAAAGGAACTGGGCCGATGCAATCAATAGTCAAGTCATCCTGACAGGTAAGCAATGTGGCGTGAAAATGACAGAATGAAGGAGCGAGGCGATTAGATGAGGTGACGATGAGCAGAAAGAACGATCATAAAACAGTCCAGCAGGAGAGCTACGGCGCCGCTGATGCCGCTGACAGCTCGAAACTTCCTTCCTATCTCACTCATAAATCAACGTGACTTATTAACTTCTTCTAAATATCCAACTGCTAACAGTTGTTAGTAGTTATTTACTCTTAGTTTTGATTTAGTAGTCATTAAATAGTCATATAATAATTACAGGTTAACAAATGTAGATTTACTAGCAAAATGCAGCTTTGACACTCATTCCCTCCAAGAATAACTAATAAAACCAGACCAGCTACTTCACCTGTAGGGGGCGACACTGACGTGTCTTCACCCCGATGTTGCTGTTACTTTATTTTACTGCAGATTGTCAACTTTGGTATTTTAACCTGATAGCTGCGAGTCTGCAGAAAGTCTTCTCACTTCCTAAAAATCATTTTACATCAAAAAATAGAGGGCACAAAAAACAAAACAAAAGCTAAAATAATTACTTTAATCTGCTTCCATTCAAAACGTCAAACAGCTGATTGTTGAATGTGATGCTGTTATCATTCTCTGCCACCATTTATATGATGTGAAATTCAAATAGTAAATACCTTTAGGAAGTATTTTACTACCCAGTAAAACCTTTAAATATTGAAGTATACCTATTCACTCAACCCCTCCTCTTGACAACTTTGTGATATTTGCTATTTATTTTATTTATTTTGGATTTCACACTCATAATGAGCAAATTTCTGTAAACAACAAAATAGGTATGGCCACTCTAATTTGCACACAAGTCAAACAATGTTCAGACATTTCTTTATTAATTAAACAGACCCACTAAAGGTTCCTTTTCAGTAATTTTAAGCATGCAATGATTTGTTCAAATTCTGTTTTCAGATGTGCAAACAGTGCCAGCTGTGGTCAAGCAGTAGCAGTCAGCACACGCTAGAGCCAGAGCAGTGTGGAGCTGCAAAAAAGCCTAAAAAGATGTGAAACACCAAGTCCTGATTTTAGCAGAAAGCTGGTGACATGTTATGTCCAAGAACAAAACTACACCCTTGAGAGCTGGAGTCCTCTCACAGAAATGAAACGACTGCAGAGGCATGAATAACTCTGGAGCTGCACTCAGAGAATTGTTGCCCCCTCTAGGAACTCTATCTCTAGGAACTGCATCGTCGGTCATCAAGCAACTAAATGTAGCCACACAGAAACTTAATAAGGTCACAAGGGGCACAAAAGGCACAAGGTGGGCGCTTTGAGTGAAAGCTGACGTGTTCAGACACGCTGACTGGGCCATGATTAACCAGTGGAACAGCAAACAGGAATAAATCCCTCCTCAGGAGCAGAGCCAAAGTGCTGCTTCACAGAAACATGCTGAGATCTCCCATCACCAGACCTGTCTCACTAAATTCACTGTCCTGCCAGTCAGTGAACCTGTTTACATCAATGTGGAGCTCCTGGAATCAATATCACACAAGCACGAGTCGTTCAAACTTGTCATAAGTGCTACACAGTTCTGAAAAGGAGAAAGGCTCCGGTGTCAAAAACGTTGCCTGTGAGGTTTGTTACTGTAGACAGTTAGAGCTGGACGTGAAGACGCATCCTATCGGAAGCTCAAAGCACCCCCGCCGGCTCTAAGGAGACCCCGACACGCTGCACAGTGCCATCTGATGGTGCGACCCGGCTACACAAAAAGAGCTGCTACACTTATAAATACAACCAAATATGACCTGACGTTACTCGTTAGGTTCTGGTCGATTCACTCCAACACTACCGTGCAGTATAATGTGACACAAACTCAGAAAAGATCCAGCATGAGCATGCTGAGCCTGCCGTCAGGTCAGCTGTGATGAATAATGGATAGGACTGTCGTCTGGCAGGCACAAAGGTGAACCAAAGACAGTGTGGGAAGCGCTGAAAGAGGTGAAGAGAGAATAATGGTAAGAGAAGACATGCGAATAAACAAGAGGAAAAAGGAGGAAGTGAAACAAGCAGAGGATGGAGAGGAGCAAACATCACCACGAAGCACGCAGCAGCTGAAACCTCCCTCTGCCCATTCCTCTTACTGTTACAGAAAAGTTCAATAAAATATACATTTAGCTGGAGTAAAGAGGTGAAAGCATAAATTTCTAATCAATAACAACTTATTTTGAAAATCATACACTCTCTTTACTCCATCCCCATTCACCATTCAAAGATCCTTATCCTCTTTTGTGGGCATAAACACGCAGAGCAGCAAAGTCTGAAAGTGAAAGATTATTTGTTTTAATGCATTTTCACTAATTAACTGCAGCAGGAGGCCAGAGGGCTCTGAAATACTCAGCATTTCAAATGAACAGGACATACATCACCCGACCCAATACCATCCTAAATCAATGTAATTGGTCAGATTTTAAATCTTCTTTCTTTCTTTGCTTGCTGACATTAACGCAAAAAAGATCTTCGATTGGAACAAAAGCTTCAGGTCCCAGAATGAGCAGATTTATTTGATAAAATCTGCAGTAGCACATTTTATCAGCCCAGATACGATCTTTTCATATAATTGTTATTGTTGGTATGTTAGCACAGTTTCATACAGGTCTGTGTTCTTGTTGACATGCAATCCTACTGGACATATTTACAACTTTGTTCACAGACGTTTCTGTTCTTATTAACAGGAGGAAGAAAAAGAAGCAAAAAACAGAAAGAACTAGAAAGAAGCGATGTGCATCTATCCACATCAACTGTCACAGATTTGGCATGAAGTGTAATTGTTGTAATGCTTTCTTGTTAAGGACACGGGTCTTTGAGTACCCAGTTTCACAGGTACTCATCAGTCACTGCTCTGAAATATTGCTAATCATTAACAGCATCAATACCGTCATCAGTGAGCGCTACTTGGTGTGTCCTCCTGTTTGTTCTGAAATCAATTTCCTTTGTTTTTGTGGGTCTCTAACTGAAGAAACCTACCCTGACACTAAATCATTGTAGTTTAAAAAAAAAATATGTTTCATCTTCAGCAAATTCCACTTTAAAACATTAGCTGAGGTTTACTCAGCCCTTTAGTTTGGAGATGAATTATCTGACTTTCAGTAGGACCATCTGCCACCACCAGTCCCCATCGAGGCCTTCCCAAACCACAGCTCAATTCTTGATTAAGCCATTCGCCTTTATCGCCTAACAAATGCTGTCAAACCTAAAATGGGGACGTGGGCCCAGCTAGTGAAATAAAATGTAAATGAACCAGGACAGAGGTAACACAATATTCTGTGTCATGTTCTATAGAAACTTAGTTTCCACCACATATTCTAATTCTGATTGGGATGTTAGTGGTACTGGAGATGGATGGGTGCATGCAGTCACATGGATAAAGGGACAAACAATGAACAATACAGCGTTTAAGATTTTCATCTGCATCTTCATTGACGAGGAGGTTGTGGAAAGTTAATGACAGCAGCCTAATCAGCTGCTGGTTTAGTATGTTTCTTGTAGCCTGGATAAACTTCTGGAGCTGGTAGTCCTTGTTCTGCTCTGCGTAGCGCCACATGAAGCAGTTCCTCACCTGCTTCTTGTGTGGTCAGAGCTGCCCTGCAGCAGGAGCAGAACAAGGACTATCATTACCAGCTGGAGTCCAAGATGATGACATTAGAGTCTAAAAGATGACGGTCGAAAGCTGCTGAGTGATACTGAAGATCAGCACAACAGTGTCCTGGTCAGAGTCTTGGTCACAAGATGGTTGATTTTCAAAATAAAAGCATAAGAGTTTCATTGGTCGTGTTAGATGTGTCCACTCAAATGTTCCTATACAAATTGTGAAAAGCTTTCTCCTCCCTATTACTTACATGTCAAGAACCAGAACAAGAGCAGCATGATGTCATCCTGACTCACCTGGTCTGGTCGTTGGTGAACTCCAGCTCTCCTCGGGCTTCCTCGAAGTCTTCTCCAGCCTTGGCGGTGCCTGACTCAGTGTGGTACGGCAGGATGACTGTGCCACGGGCGCCTGAGTTGCGCACCACCGTCAACTCCATTGTGCCCACGCTCTCACTCACGCGTACCATTCGTTCGCTAAACGTGAAGATGCCAGCATGGTCGTCATCCAGGATAGTCACCGTGGCCACCAGGGGCTCAACTAAGCGAGCTTTGGGTGCGGCACCCACTTCGTCGCTTTCAAACATCCCCTCTGCATCACCAACACGCAAATTCAACAGGCGGACAAAGAAGTGCTCGTCCTCTTCAAATATGTCATCATCGATTATGCCAATCTAGAAACAGAAGATACCAGAGAACAGCGTGAAACTTTAGCTCCAAACAGGTGAGTGTGAGTGAGATTCCTGTAGTGATTAATAATTCCTGGTCAGTTTTTGTGTTTTGGATTTTAGAGCAAAGCTCAGTGAGTGCAGAAGACAATAAAAGAAACGTCTCTGTTCAGTGTCCTTCATGTGTAATTATTAAGTATTCAAATTTGGACATAACATGTGATTCCTGAGCAGAATCCTATTAGTGAGTAATAAGAAGCTTTGGAGAGCTCTGAGGTGGAATTATATGGTCAAAGAGTGAAAATGTCTCTATCCTAGAAGGCCATTTCAACAACAATCCCAGTATTATGTGGAATGCAGTCATGCTACATGCGCTGAATTTAAACTGAACCCTGCTCAGGATGCTTAAGCGCAGTGTTGTTGTATCTGGATGGCTGAGGTGAATATCAAGAGCCAGTCTTTTCCCTCAGCTGCTGGTTCTGTAGTCAACTCTATCCAATCATGTCACTGCACATTAGCAGGTGGCAGGTGGGGATTCCCAAATCAGATCAGGTCTGCGTGTCCAGCCAAGCCTGCCACAGATGGAAGTGTATAAATGTGACTTTTTCTTGCAAGAGAAATAAACACTTAAAAAATACGAAATATCCGGGAGACGTGGAGCTTCACTATAACCCATAAAGAGTTCTGTTTATATTATTATATCCCCTCTCTGTCAGCACTGCTTTTGCAAAAATGTAGATAAAAAAATCCCTATTAAATTTGATTCATGCCACTGTTTAGACAAAATACAAAAAACTAGTGCTGTCAGCGTTAATTTCGCTAAAATCAGGTTAACGCCATGACCGCATTAACGCGGCAAATCTCCGTTGGCGAGTTAACGCAGATCGCCCCTGTGCGTGGTGCTGTACGACGCTAACGTGTTAACGAGCTAACCGCACTAACGCGTTGGCGTCGTGCAGCCCCACGCGCGGGGCGATCTGCGTTAACTCGCCAACGGAGATTTGCCGCGTTAATGCGGTCATGACGTTAACCTGATTTTAATGAGACAGCACAAGTTCAAACGAATGCACATGAAGGCAAATACAGAAGTCACTGAAAAAATGATCATTTGCATTAATTTGTAAAGCTCATCACAAAGACACAGACACCTTTTAATTAGTGCTACTCTCCAAAGTGGAAGCACAGATTTCTTTGATGGACTCTTTCTCACAGTACACAGAAAGGCACTCCAGAGGGTCATCAATATGGCCGGTACACACCCAGGACACCGGGTGTTTAGGCTGCTGCCGTCTGGCAGGAGGTTCAGGCTGCTGAGGTCCCGAACAAACAGACTCAAGGACAGTTTTACAACAGGGTGATAGCCCTGATCAATGCAAATAGCTGACCTGACTGGCTACCTCCCTGGACTTTTTGGGGGGGTTAACAACGGTAAAAACAGTACTAATAATAATATTTATATTTATAACAAGGTGCAACAACAATTAATGTGCAATAATAACAGTGTGCAATACAAATACACTTATTCTTCTTTTTTATTACTAAGTTATTATACTGTGTTGTGTTGTTTGTGTTGTGTTGTGATGTGTCGTATCGTGTCGTGTTGTGTTACATGTAGTGCTGACGTAGGACAGTTTTCCAATTTCATTGTACTATTGTACTATGTATGACTGTGCAATGACAATAAAGAGTTATCTTTTATTGCACTCTGTCATACGGCATCACTCATGATTTGTTGTTTTTACATCCCATAGTGCACACAATAAGGAGACAAGGGAGAGAGAGAGAGAGAGTCACGTCTGATGACAATTTAGTGCCTGAAGAAAGAGTTACTTCAACAAGCTCCAACAAAGCGCAGTACTTTTCAAATTATGCATTTCTTCCTGCTAAAGCTGGAAACTACAAAGTTGTTTCACCACTTGAAGCAAAAACACACCACTGAGTAGAACGAGGAGGAGATACAAGCAGCAAAAGTAAAAAGCAGTTTAAGTAACTTAAACTCCTGCATAGGTAGAAAGTATCTTTCAATTGTATTATGTGACAGTACTGTGCAGTGTTGTTTAGTTCATTAGAAAATAAGGATGTATAATTCATTTACTGATGCCTGGAAGCGTCAATAAAATATCAGCAATGTTGACAATTTTCTTGAAATATTGTATAAATTTCAGGATCTACTGCCCAACCAGCAAAGTCCGTTTGTTTCTATAACCCATTAAAACACAATAAATGTTGGCCAACGTACTGTACAACCAGTAAAACCATCAAGCAGTGGGGGTAAATGGCACTGTGAATTAAAGCTAGTCTGAAAGTGAAGAAGTCTGTGAGAAGAGGTGAAGTTGGTGAGTTAATTGACCTAATCTGATGTGGGAGGCTATTGCAGAGTTCTGGAGCATTAACTGAGAACAACCATTCGGCTGTAAGAGCCAACTGGGAATTAAGAATAGCTGAAAACTGCTGATCAATGGACCCGAGAGAGAAGCATGGATCTGATAGGTAACGTGGATTAAACCCCTGCAAGTACTTGTATATGAGAAATAATGTTTTTATAATTGATCCTATACATCACCGTCATACATCAGCAAATTCAACTATTTAAGAATAGCTGAAATATGATCATGCTATTAGTTTTGCTCAGTCCAAAATATAACAAACTGCAGAATTATGTTTTTAAGCTCATTAATAGAAAGAAATGGTTGAAATTTACTTAAAAGTCTAAATTTAAGACAAGAATCAAAAACATACAAATCAAATTCTTTACCTGAGGTTTGAAACATGATGTCAGAGACCCAAGAACCATGTTGGGGTCTTCTCTGTTTTCTTTATATTATTGTAGGGTCTTTACTTCACAATATAAAGCACCATCAGGCAACTGTTGTGGTTTTTTTGATGCTATATAAATAAAACTGAATTGCATTAAAGTAATAAGAATTCAATTAGTCTGATTTTAAATGGATTTCTCTTTGTTGTGACAGTTGTTTTTATACTGTTCCCTCGTAGCGCCAAGAGTACAACCACTACACTTTTTATGTGCTGACAAATTACATAATAAACTGTAAATCTGTAGAACGTGGACTTAGAAAAACATTGTTTTTAAGGCATTTGTTAAACTAGTCTTCAACTTAAATAATCTTTTCATGTTGTTTTTAGACAGTTTGGACAAAATTAAATATTTGAAGACATCGGCTTCAGGGAGTTTTACACACTGATTCATTAAATGAATGTCAGAATCAGAATACTTTATTAATCCCAAAGGAAATTATGGGTTACAGCAGGCTGCATGCTGGTTGGACCCCTTCCGTTTAACTCTAAAATGATAAAAGTAGCAAAACCTCATCAGGCTGGCTCTGATAACAATGCAATCAGTCTGTCAAACACTAAAACTAAACACGCATTTTTATCTGATTTTAGTTAGTTTAGAGAACAGACGATATATTTTTTTAAAGATTTATTTGGGCTTTTATTATTTTCATTACAGAACAGCAGAGCAGACAGGAAAGGAGGATGGAGAGCGGGTGAATGGTCTGGGGTGGAGTTAAACTCTGCTCTATAGCTCTCAGCACTCTTACAATATTATTTGATGTTTTAGTTTTGGTTTAGATTTAGTTTCCTAGAATAACCATCGCTTATAGCACAGGCATTGCTGTCTCTTGTCTTGAGTGTTTCCTGTGCTAACTGCTAAAACACCAGAAAACCAAAGTTCTTGAAAATCGTATTTATTACCAACAAAAGTGCAAAGAAATGATGCCGATCATTATCATTAAACTACAACTCAGTCACCAATGAAAGACTACCCAGAGTGTTTATTGGATTCAGACAACAGTAACTCTCCTGTGTCGTTTCTAATACAAAGTTGTGTTTTATAATTGAATGTCTCATCTCTGTTACTAATGGGGCCGATTTGCCTACTTAAGATACAGCACAGACCTTCATTCAATCAGCAAATATGAAGTGACAGTTAATTTAATCTTCATTATGCTGAAGAAGGAAACTTTGTGCGTGGCTCTGTGTGAGGCCACAAGCATAGCGCCTGGTCTGCAAATAATGCAGATTAAAAATTGATCAAATGAAATTTTGTGCCTTAAGTAATCAGACAAAGTAATGATCAGCTGCATTTATTTGACTGGAATAAACTGTGCTGAGAAGAGGAGACACGTTTTCACAACTGCTAATTGTCTCCTTTTTTTTGACACAACAATTATGACTCTTCATTACAACAAAGAGTGCTGACAATGAGACCTGTTATTGGCTCTGTCAGATTGATCTCTCTCGTATAGTCAGAGCCTGTGAAGGCTGCGGTGACCGTCACACAGTGGAACTAATGCGACAGAGAAAGTGGAGCTCTGGCAGAGAGCTGAAGTATTCAAGTTTAATTGGTTTCCCTGCTGCTCGTTTCTAACTGGAACGGCGTTCGATGAAATCGGTGCTGGTGAAAAGGATGACACCGACCTTTGTAATACAGTTACTCCACATCTGGCCATCCGCTCACTCGTGGTGGAGGGGCCAATTTATGCTGCCAGTTTTTCAGATGTCCACACTTCTTCTTATTTAATGTGGCTCTTTAGGCTATTGTACCACCCCTCCACTCATCCCCACTTCCTTCTGATCTCCCATCAGATTTTGAATCCAAGCACGGATTAGCCGGCTTACCATGTCTCCTTTTAATGCAGACAGCATGCAGCACTTTAGAGATAATATTCTTGGTTTCACATTAAGAAAAACATCTTTATTGTGTTATTTGATCCCAAATTCAAAGGTTTTGATATTTGTAGTAAAAGATGGGGAACTCTGAAGCACTTCACTTCACTGATCATCGAAAACTAAACTAAAAACAGTTTTTTACAGTAATAGTGCTGAATTATTGGAAGCAGCAGGCAGTTTTTGAAGGTTGAGAAGGAGGCAGTACAAACACGTTCACTTAATCACAAAGGTACTGGAATCTTAAAATAAAACGCAGATCTTTAATGAAAAAGTAATGAGTTAGAAAAACACAAAAACCAAGCTGGAAAAAGGGTTTCATCTCTAAATGTGAGTAAAAGAAAGAAGCAGCAAGCTCTGTTAGTTATTTTGAGCCCTTGATTAAATGAACAGGAAGAGACTGACTGACATTTTAATTTCAGTGGTTACCAAGATACAGAAACTGTGTCTGACATCTGCTTGTCGACTTTTCTTCAGAAGTTTTAAAGGTTGGGCTGAAAATGGTGATCCAGCGTAGAAGCACCAAAATCCCACAGTTCCTCCTCACTTAAGTGTGACGTTTTTTTACACATAACTCAAACATCTGGATTTTTTAAAGCTTTAGGTTAGGGGAACATGAGTGCTCAGACCGACACAGGCAGTATCAGCTCATTACTGCCTGCTTGGCTTCACTTCCACTAATTTGAGGGGCTGAATTGGACGTCTCCATCGTGTTTGTGCTCTTTGTGCATCGGTGAAATGAGCTAACAAATAATATGCCGTGCAGTGAGAAAGAGTCAATCAGAGAAGTCTCTGTATCGGGTTCTGAGAGTCAAAGTATTTTATTTAGATTAGCACTAATTAAAAGGCATCTGTGTCTTTGTGATGGAGCTTTAAAATGTCCAGAAGCAGCTTGTTAAACAAACTTGCTAGTCTTAGTTAATAGATAACTTAGCAGTGAACCAACACGACTGGTTTACGTGAGAGGTGAGTGATAACTGCCATCTTTGGGATTACAGAATTGCCACAGGTTTCAATATCATCTCTCTTTTTTCTAATACTTTAATTTTATGTTTATAATTTCAGCTGCTCATAGATTCTCAGCAAACCCGTGACTTTCTGCTTTACATTCATGTTAGTGGGAACAAACATAACCCACATGTAGAAGCAGCAGAATGAGCAGTAGTAGTCTGACTGGAAGCAACAGTATTTTTCCCTCCCAGCCGCGAACCCGGGCTTCTGTTTTTCCAGAGCCTTTGTCTGTCTCTCCTCCCGGGACTCTCATTATGTATCTCCTCATCCCTCTCCCACCTCTTTCTCCTCACTTTGATCTCCTTGGAAATCTTCCCAGATTTCACAGTCACTGTGGAGGAAGCCCGCAGAGTGTTTGTGCATTTTTATAAAGTAAAACTCTCAGTCCAGAGCTCCTCCTGCACCAAAGCTGGTGACTTACCGTGTGTAGGTCCTAATTAGAAAATCAGCTGAATTAGAAATCTCTTCACCAACTTGGAGCTCAAAGCTTTTGGGATGAACTGACAGGTATATTTCATAATTCATATAATCAGCTATACAGTTTCCCACAGGGATCATTAAAGATTCAACTTGTCTCCAAAAAAACCTTCAATAAATCTTTAACACTGAAGTTCCCTTATTGTCAAACTCATCTTCCATCTGCCACGATGAAGGAAGAGAGTACTCTTAAACTGTGTCTGTGTCGTGGTCACTGCTGTGTGCTCACTTCTCTTTTTGTTCCTCCTTTGTGCTTCTAACACTTTTCACTGTTTCTTCTGTGCATCAGTGTCTGAGCCTCCCACTGTCTGTGTTCACTCGCTCTTTTTACTTCCTGTTTTATTATGAAGTTTTTGCTTTGTCCCTTTCAGAGTTTAAGATTTATAAGACTGCTTCCACGTTCAAGCTTCAGCCGTGTCTTGTTTCCCTGTACTTGTATTTCTGCCTCTCAGAAAGCAAAACTCTTGAGCGTCTTGGATCCAAATGGCCAACATTAACATACCAAAACCTGTACAGGGAGAACATGCAAACTCCACATGGAAATGCTCAGCCTGACTTCAAACCCAGCGACACTAATGCTGCGAGCAACACTGATAACTGCTACAGTTTCTGCATCCATAAGATCCATGCCAGGGTCAGCTGGGGTCTGAGTGATGTAACTTTTAACATCAGATGGTGAGGACAAGACTCCCTGTAGTATTTTGTGATTGTGTAAACTGGCCTGAGCTTATATAAAAGGAACAGCTACTCATCCGTACTGTCAGCAGCTGTCCACGTCCCCGACAAAGTATAAGCCCCACCTGAGTCACTGTTGTTGTGTTCCTGTGATTTTTTGTATACGGTTAACCTTGTGCTTCTTTGTTTTTAATAAAAGGATGTTTTTTAAATGGCAGGTTATCTTCTCTTCTCAGTCTTCCCTGAACTCACCTTGATCTCTTTGCAAGTCTCTCCAGGCTTGAACACCAGCGTTCCTTCGGTGTATTCGTAATCTGATCCAGCGTTGGCTGAACCATCTTCTGTTCTGTAGTCCACATAGAAAGTGTTCTCTCCCAGACCACCTAAACAACAGAAATAAAACACAGTTACACTGGATATATTACACAATATTATTTCTGTGAGCTGTATCTATCTGTACTGTGATGTTCACACTCTTACAAAACCTATATAGGAAGATAAGCTGACTCTCAGTTACTTTTGCATTTATGTTGCTCGTGTTTTTCACCAGCAGATTTTGTTTTCCTTATGATTTCAGAACTGAAGCCAAAGCGCTTTGAGCCAACTGTTGTTGAGATTTGGAGCGATATAAATAAATAAATACATATGAATAAAACTGAACTGAATTTAACTGAAATACATTTATTCAACATATCTAAAGAGGGACTCTATTTTAAATTTGGATGAATTTAGACTTCCTTTTACATGCTAGTGATCGTCTTGGAGTGTCTAAATCTATTCATGACTAAAACTGGAGGTGGAAACCAGACCTTTGTACACAAGGTGCGCAAAGGTCTAATGAGTGAGATTTTTAAAAAGGAAACATGAACAAACGAATTTAAGAATTTGAAGGAAATAGTCATGAATCTACAGGCTGAAATTTATGCATCTGGATTTTTGACACCTCAATGTGTGTGTGTGTGTGTGTGTGTGTGTGTGTGTGTGTGTGTGTGTGTGTGTGTGTGTGTGGTGTGTGTGTGTGTGGGAGGGGGGGAATCCTATTCAGCTGTATTATGTATAGCTGTCCTTCAATCAGTGCCTCCCATCTAGGTGCCTTAGAATCAGGCATATATATCAGAAACTCTGACATACTTAATAAAGCTGTGTGAAAAAATTGCTTTCGTATTGTGACCACATGGATGGGTCAAAATGTGGTAGCTGGTCATTGACAATTACTCCAAAAAAACCCAAAAACCTTTTCTTGGGATTCCTCAAAACATGCTACATGAAATTTTTTCAAACTGCTGTGTTAAAAAAAGCAATTCTGTTTAAGCACGGGTTACTGCAGGCTCTCTTTAAAGTGCTTCTTTTATAAGTACTTTTACAAGTAATTAAATGTCTTCCTTTAGGTTCAGTGGAGGAAACTGACCACAGGTCAGATCAAAGACATAAAAGGTTTAGATCAAATGTTGCACTGATTTGAAGAACAGAAAGATTTTATGCTTTATTACCACAGCAGCTCTCAGCCTCTTGTCTTATTTATGTGGACTCATTATAAGCTTATGCGTAATTCATTTCGCTACCTTGACACGCCACAGCCAGCATCAGGACGCCGCAGTTCTCCATGCACTGACTGTGAGGACTCTCAAATGAGATGCGGCTGCACACAGCCAGGTCGTCGTCTTCTGGGGCCTCCTCGTCAGCTACGGCTGTGCGCCGCGCGTGGTCCGCTGCATGCTTCTTCAGGACGTTTCCAGCTCCGATCATCATACGAGTCGCCTTCAGGGAGAGGAAGAGGAGGATAAGAGGAGGATGAGGGGTTAAAGGAAACAAAGAGTACAGAATCATTTTTAGAAGCCCTTGAACTACTTTATGTGTTCCCACAGTTCTGGACAACCTTGTGTGTTTACCTCAGGGCCTAAGAGAGAGAGAAGTGTGTGTGTGTGTGGTGTGTGTGTGTGTGTGTGTGTGTGTGTGGTGTGTGTGTGTGTGTGTGTGTGTGTTATGAGTGCGGTAAAAAGCTCGGCTCTTCTGCTGGTGCAGCAAGGCGTAGTTGTTGGCCAGCTCCACCTGCTGGTCCAGCTCTTTATCAGGATATTTCTGCTTCAACTCCTTCAAGATACGAATCACCTGGAGGAAAGATGAGAGGACACAAATCTGCTTAAGATGGAATCGACACGACACAAGAGCGAGACATTCTCATCACGTACAGTTTCTGCAGACACGTTTCCACTCACGTAAAAGAAAAGAATTTCTCACTGCCTCCAAGACTAAATATTTTATATGTTTTCAGGCTTTTTTTAAAATTACACGTCTCAGATATATGCACAGCTTTTTTAGGACTTTGATTGGATCAATGCAACACTTTGATACTTTTCTTTTTCAGCCATTCTGTTGCAGGTTTGCTGCTGTGACAGATGGTTGTGACTCCAGAGTACTTTGCTATGCAGAGGAGTTTCTGGTCGACTCCGGGTCCTGTGGCTGCCCAAATCATCACTCCTCCACCCCGTGTAATAGTTGGTATGCAACTGGTATGAACTGCTGTGCATCGTGACCAAACATTGGTCTCGTCTGTTTGAAGGACATCGTTCCAGAAATCTTGGGCTTTGCTCAGACATAATTTTGCAAACTTAAGCTGTTCTGTCTTTTTTAGAATTCCTGGGAAGACTGAGGAATTGTGTTAACACACAACTAATGCTCCAGACCAGCAAACTGTCAAAACTTCTGCTTTCACAGAGCTCATCACACTTGTTGAAGATCAACTAATCAAGTGCAGTTTGTTAGCAGTGTCTGGCTGCTCTTTACTCTCTCCCCCCCCCCTTTGGATACAGTACAGGTACATTTAGTTTTTTACAAGATTGCATCAAGTCTTAGAGATATAAAATACAAAAAAGGCTAACGCAGAAATGTCTTAAATACTTTTTCAGTTTCATAACAACAGAATCACTGCATCTTTTCTCTAAAAGCTCAAGCTATCAAAGGATGACATTTTGAAATAATAACTTCCAACAACTTTCAAGCATTAAAAGAGAAAATGTCATCAGTTAAAGGAATAAATTACCCCTTTGCTGTCCAAAGACAGTCACACAAAGAGGCCTGATGTCTAATTACATTTGATCACATGAGTTGGTGCAGAAAACATCCCACATTTGTGCTACTTGAAATGGTCAGCAAAAAAAAAATCAAAACTAAACAAAACTAACATAACGCCTTTTCTCCATAACGATATCCAGTCAGGTGATGTTTCACTTCTACCAGATACAATATGATTTACAGTTTTAATCAGCAGTTATTATCCTGCTTCCTACTAATCGCCTTCACAATATAACCACATACTGTATTAGAATAGGTGAAGCTGATCTGGTGTTAGGATATATTTTTGCATGTCACTTTGAAAAAGATATAACATAACCCACTCTCAGTCTGTACCAGGTACTCTGCAGATTTACAAACAGACCATTAAGCAAACACAAATATGGTAATACTTAAAATATTTCTTTCATTTTCTCTACACAACATGAAACACAGGTTGTTTCTGGCATTTTAACAGGAGCTGTGAACCTGCTCTTAAAATATGTAAAAATGTGCAGGTCTGACTCCCCTGATGGACTGTTCTTTGTCTTGTCAAGGACTGAAAGAGACAAAAACATTGATGCTGGGTATGGAAAATAAGTCTGTCTGTCCAACATTATTAGACAAGCAAGACTAAGTCAGTCTTGCAGATTTTGATAAGCACCTTTGGCCTGTGCTACCGGGTGTAGAGAGAGGATCCAAATGCCTATCAGGAATCTCAAGGAGATGCAAAGAGGAACTTTATTTGTTTTCTAAATAAAAAAGAGAACAAAATGCTGTGCACAACACCAGCGAGAGAACCTGGAAGGAAGTAACTAAACTGAGCCACAAAAAACAGATAACAAAAAACCTTGTAGACAAACAAGAGTGAACAGCGTGTTTCCTTGTTAATGTGTTATTTTTTCAGTCCTGAATGTATTTGCAAGACTCGGTGTGGCGTGATTAACTTTTAGAATTTCTTTGGATCTGAATCCAGAACTTTTGTGAAGGATTCTTTGTAATGTGGATTAAAATAGTCCTGCTGGATCCAGGGACTCGGGCCATATGTGGTCTGCTTTGCTCTGTCTTCCCTCTAAGAGCGACTGTTAGCAAAGAAAAAAATAACCCTTTTCAGTGTAACCTGTATGTGCTGCATATGCATGGAGCCAGGTTTCACAGTAAGTGATAGCTCAGGATCAATAAAGGAGTGAGTGGTCCTGAAGGGGTCACCTCAGTGAGAGGAAGTGAAGCCACAGCCTGAGGCTGCGTTCTGCCTCTGCACACATTTACATCAAGTTTCTGCCCACACAGCGAACTCAAATAGCAAAACTGCAGGGGTGGAGTGCACTCGACACTTTCAGCTGGCTTTCAGGGTGCGAACCTACCTAAAAGGCCATTTAGTGCAATATTATCAGCAGAATAGCGTTTAACCCTCAACTTTAAGGCTACTTTTTCTCTGGTACTAAATACAGTACTGTACATTTCAGTACAGCTTGTGATATCTGAGCATGAACCGCACATACAGCCGAATTAGGAGTAAAAAAGCAAAATGTAATTACATTTCTAAAACTCCAATTATGTAAGTATGGGCAGCATCTTCAAACTTGTCACCCAAGCCCAAGGTAAACTGTGAAAGTACCTGTGAAAGGCAACTTTAAAAAAGTCCACTTTGGAGCATATTTTAGCTTAAAATATCAGAATGATATTTTAAAGCCTGGTTTAATTGGGCCAGAAAAATGATGTGGATGAGGACCTGTTTGTCTCTCAGTTCTTACTGTCTGTCTAGCTTTTATTTTAATAAAGTTTCTTCCCAAGAGTCTCATTTCTCTGCTTTTCTCATTTTCCATCCTCAGTTCTAAATCAAGTAAATTATATTTATAGAGCCAAGTATTTCAAGGTCCTCAGGGGGTTTTATGATTTGTACTGTTGATAGATTTTCAGTTCAGATAAGAAAAAAGTTCGTTCTACTCCTCAAAAGTAAGAGCTGTTAATCTTTTCACAGCAGATGTAAATGGGCTTATTGTCATCTGCATTCCAGACAGGTGCAAAGCAGCGATTGTTAACAAAATGAGATTATAAAGTGCAGAACAAAGCATGCATGCTTCACTCGAGGAAATGGAAATTTAAACTGGAGACACATTTATCTGCATTTGAGGCGCTTAACAAATTTATCAGACGAGATTTCATAAAAACAAGAAAACACAAATGCTTTAGAAATCTGTTAAAAACTTGTTCAAAAAACTAAAAGTTATGTTTTTATTTATGAGGCAAAATAACAAACTTTTTACATGTGTTCTGAGCCAGAAGCCAGAAAATAATGAAGCACATATTCAAATACTTAAATTAAATCTTCTGTTCTGCTTTTTTGTAACACAGTACATTTGTAAATTTAATAATTATATTTTAGTATGAAAAATATAATTTAGACTAAGGAGCGTGGGCCTGTGGCAGAAACCTTACACTGGGTGGTGTTTGAAATGTACTGAGCACTCTATCTTTCTGTCTCCTGCTGAGAAATAATCCATTATTTTTCTGCAATTCTGTCGTCTTGATGCACGCTCCATCATCCAGGTAAGTAAATCTCCAAAAGTTGATTGTGTTCATCTGGACGTAGCGTTTTGTGGGAGAAACGTTTCGTCACTCATCCAGGTGACTTCTTCAGTCTCAGCTGACTGCAGGTTTCAATCTTATAAACAGTAAATTTGCATAATGACTGAAACCAGCCCACTGAAGGAACAATGGGCTGGGAGGTCAGTTCCTTAATCACAGTTATGTAAATTCTCATGGTCATTGATCAACAACCACTGATCAATAACCATGAGTACCATTCACAGAGAGTTGGGGAATGGCTGCAATCACAGCATTGTAAGATGGTGACAGATGTACCCTTAGGCCCCCTCCTCGATTCAGAGATGGTCTTTCCCTTTTCACGTAAATGGCCTCCTTCACTCCGCCCTCAAACCAGCGTTCCTCACTGTCCAGGATGTTACATCCTCATCATTGAAAGAGTGTCCACTGGCCTGTAGGTGTGAATAGACTGCAGAGTCCTGACGAGGTGGCTCTTCTGTGTTGTGCCATCTGCTTCGCCAGAGGTTGTTTGGTTTCCCGATGTATAAATCCTGGCAATCCTCCTGCACTTAACAGCGTACACTGTGTTACTCTGTTTGTGTCGGGGGACCCGATCCTTGGGGTGGACCAGTTTTTGGCGCAGCGTGTTTTGGGGTTTAAAAGCCGCAGAGACCCGGTGTTTAGAAAAAATGCGTCTCAACTGCTCCGATACTCCTGACACGTACGGGATCACTACAGGTTTTCGCTTGGGCAGCGGTTGTCCTTCTCTCCTGGATCGGCTGGAGCTTTCTTTAGGTGCCTTTCCAGCTTTGACAAAAGTCCAGCTGTGATAACCACATTTACTCAGGGCCTTCTTGATGTGCTGTTCTTCTGCCTCTCTGGCCGCTGTGTCAGTGGGGATGGTGTTCGCTCTGTGTTGTAGCGTCCTGATGACACCCAGTTTGTGCTCCAGTGGATGATGAGAGTCAAACCTTAAATACTGATCTGTATGTGTAGGTTTATGGAACACGTCAGCTTTTAGATGTCCCCCATTACTGATGGAAATCTCACAGTCTAAGAAGGCTAACCTGCCACTTTTCATATCCTCCCTGGTGAATTTGATGTGTTGGTCCACCGAGTTTATGTGATCCAAGAATTGTGGTACATCCTGAGATTTGATTTTCACCCAGGTGTCATCCACATAGCTGAACCAATGGCTTGGTGGTGTTCCAGGGTAGGATAGCAAAGCCCTCTTTTCCACTTCTTCCATGTACAAATTGGCCACGATGGGTGAAACTGGGGAGCCCATGGCACACCCATGTTTCTGCCTGTAGAACTGACCCTTGTATGTGAAGTAGGTGGAATGAAGGCACAGTTCAAACACACTTGGTTGATGCTGAGAGTGGTCCTGTTGCTGAGGTTGGTGTCATCCTGTAATCTCTTACGAACTACCTCCAACGCTTCTGTGACTGGGATGCAAGTGAAGAGAGATGTAACGTCGTACGAGACCATGGTTTCATCTGCCTCCATAATGACATCTCTCACCTTCTCAACAAAATCCAGGGTGTTCTGGATGTGGTGTTCAGAGCTGCCCACCAGCGGGTTGAGGATGGAAGCCAGAAACTTGGAGATGTTATAGGTGACAGAGTTGATCATACAGACAATCTGTCTTAAAGGTGCACCCTGTTTATGTATTTTCAGTAAACCATACAGACTTGGTGTAGATTCCCCTGGGTATAGCTTCACTGGGCTGGTTTCAGTCATTATGCAAATGTACTGTTTATAGATTTGGGGAAACCTGCAGTCAGCTGAGACTGAAGAAGTCACCTGGATGAGTGACGAAACGTTTCTCCCACAAAACGCTGCGTCCAGATGAACAGAATCAGCTTCTGGAGAACTACAATTCTGTCCTAAAACAGCAGAAGGTTTAGATTTTTCACCAACATAAAAATGTGGGAAATGAAATTATGAAATGAATATATGGTAAGCCACATATGCAATGACCCCAGAGTCCAAATGGATTTACATTCTAAAGATTACATGAAAATGAAACACTTGTTTCTTCATTTCCTCACTTTGAACACAGATTTTCCACACATAGCACTAAGATGTTCTGCACAAACCAGAAATGCATCTGAGGAATGGAAAGAAAAACTTTGTTTGCATAGTGACAGTGTTAAAATGTGCAGTAACAAGTGCTCCATAGGTTTTTGTTGTTTTCCTGTCTGTCTTCAGAAATATTTTTATTTATGTTTTGACTCTCTGGTTTGCTGATCTGATGGTTGAAGTTCGCCTGTTTTATAGGAAGACCTTTCACACAGTTTTATGTAACACATCATCTGGCGTGTAACTGAATCTCTCAAACTAACAGTCTAATGTTTGATTCTGATGTTGTGCTTGTGATCAGATGCTCTCCTATGCTGCTCTCTGAAGATTCTTCCCATCTCTGTCTCACCTCCTTGCGGCTCTCATCCAGCTCCTTGCTGCTTTCCACATTGACTGTAGCACTGGTGGAGTGGGGCAGATTGGCTCCCCCTCCTGTTCCCACGGCTCCTGCTGCCGCCCCAATGTTATTGGCTGTGGCGCCTGTGGTCCCGTCCTGAGTGCCGCCCCCACAGTTTTCAGCAGGAACCACAGCGCCCCCTCGCGCTGGGAACTTGCCATCTATGATCATCTCCATGCCGCCTTTGTTGGGTGTCAAATCCCCTTCAGTCTCGACAACGATGCCATGGCGCTTGTCGGCTCGGTAACGCTTGCCCATGTATTTGTAGAAGAGCAGGCGCCGATCAGCGATCCAAGCCAGGATGACACAGACAGGGAAGAAGAGCAGGGTGACCAGGGCCTCCCACACCTGAAACACACATGGAGATTATAAAGTTAGAACTATTATAGTTGTTAAAGATCAGTCATCCATCCATCTTCTTAACAGCTGAAGTAACTCTGAAGGAGGAGCTCTGAACCCGGGATCTACTTGCTGTGAGGCAACCTGGCCCATAAGGAAACAACAGTATGTGGTCACATTTGAATTCACAAGTTAACAACACTACTTGTGTGGGAAAAAGAATAAGAGATATCTTTGCTTAGAAGTTTGTCCATCAGCAAGCAGGAAGAAGACTATATTAACCTGTCTCCCGCCACATATTCCCCAACCTCTAAAACAAAAGACAAAAACTGCTCCGTGTCAAAACCATTTCCTGATCACTTCGCTTCACGTCTTCATGTTAGAGGGTTCATTTGAGAACTTACCAATTTACCAAAAAGATGAATAAATATCTGGTATGTTGCCACTGCACCTCTGAGCTCACTGATTCTTTCATCCTCTCACACTGAGTCTGCCTCACCTCCACGACACCCGGCGATATGATAGACAGGATAAGGTAGAGCCAGATGTAGGCGAAGATGCTCCAGAACGCGGTGATGAAGAACACCCGCAGATGTTTGATCTTCCGGCTCTGGCCGTTGGGGATCACCCACACGCAGATCCCGATGATCACAAACATGTTGAAGGCAGCACTGCCGACGATGGTTCCTGGACCCAACTGGCCAGCCTTGAATTCGTGACCACACACCTGCAAAAAGTTTGTAACAGGGAGAGGAAAGACAAGTCTACTTACCATCTGCATCTCAATAAACGATACACAGAGTTACTGTGTGTGTGTGTGTGTGTGTGTGTGTGTGTGTGTACCTCTATAACAGAGAGCAGTATCTCTGGAGCGCTGGAGCCCAGAGCCATGAGCGTCAGATTGGACACTGTTTCATTCCAGATTCGAACCGTCATCACTGACGTTTCCCCGTTAGGCATAGTGATGGTCACCTCCTTCTCCTGTTGGCCCAAACACACAATTTGTGTTACCATGCTTGATGTAAATAATCGGGACTACGTAGAAGGATGAAGATGTAACCTGCCCCACCCTAGGCTGAACAGAGAGTTAGGAAGATGCCAGTCCACGGTCTGTGTAAACCTCCACATCCTTATCAGATTATTTCTTCTTCTTCATCCACCAAGTAGTCATAGATACGCTGTTCATACCTCAAAAGAAGCGGCTCGTTCATGCACTGTTCGCTTCTATTCAGATTTTTTAAATTAGACACTGAATGGAGAGACTCGTTCTCTTTTCTGCTGTCACTCCTCTTCCTTTAGGCAGATTTTCACGGTACCTTTTACAGTTTTTCAGTTTTGGTCAAAACTGTCCAGAGAAATCTCTCAAATCTCTCCCCGTTCATGTACACTGGGAAGCTAAAGTGAGGTTAGAGTGAGACATGCAGAAAATCTCGTCTGAAATTTTGGTATTTAATCTGCCGCTGTGACCACAATTTTCACCCTACAGCCTGTTACCTGCAAAATGTAGCTACACGTGTTTGCTTTTCAAAAAGCCATGCCTCAAAGCCCACACATGCATACTTTTTGAACTACAGCCATTTGTTTCAGAGGAATGCCATCATGTGCTTTCATTCATGAGTTTCCAACAGTCATGGAGAGAAAGAAAAAATCTTTTTAAACTTGCTCTCCTTGTCACAGTCTGCTCAGGCAAAGTGCATGGAGTGCAAAGAGTGGACCCAGGTCTGGACATACTAAAACTCAAACATAACTGATGATGAGCGGTTTATTTAGGCAGACAAAACAGTACAAAATAAAAGGACGAAAACAACATAAAACTAAACAATGGCCTACACTGGGTAAACTAGAAAAGAAACAAGAACCAAGAAAAATCTTGGCGAACAGAAAACAAACAAGAAAAACTCTAAACATAGCAAAGTGATATGGAAATCTGAAAGCACGACATGGCATGGGAAAAACGCAGACGATCCGGCAAGGAGTGACTGAAAACACATGGACTAAATACACACAGGAGGATAATGAGGGAAGTGGGAACACATGGGGAAATGGCTGACACACATGAACATAACGACATAATGTCTACTAATTCAGTTTGCATGTTGAAGTATTTCTGGTCAAGATATATAAGATTGTTAGTATGTTAGGCAAGGTCCTTAAAGGAACAGAATAGTTGTTTAAATGTGTTATTGGTTGACAGAGCACTCGGCATAGAAAATAGGAATCTAAGTAGCAGCCAGTCCACACCTCCCTGTTGTTTCAAGAATGAAAAACCAAGAAGGATTTTTTTGCTAATACGTTTTCCATGGTGATCTGTATGAGCCTCTGGACAGTAAAAAGTCACTGTTCTCACATGCTGGGGCTGCAGATAATGCAGTGGGGCTGTATCCCAATTCAGGGTCTGCAGCCTTGAAGGCCGCATTTTAAGGCCGATTACATCACAGCGACGCGACGAAGGCTGTCCCAATTTAAAGGCTGCTCGAAATGCGGCCCTCAAATGCGTCCTTCATTTCCCTGAATTTTAAGGACGTGGCGGTGTAGACTTCGTGGCCCAACATATCCCAGAATGCATAGCGCGGCGGTGGGTGTGGATAATTTTGCCGAAAAAAAACGGCAGAAGAGTAAACTTTTAAAAGTAAGTACTTAATATTATGTCACTTCTTTATGTGCAAATGTTTAATAACGAAGAACATTAAAACATTACTGTCAGCAAAGTTATGTGGCATTAGTGACGTTTGTACTAACTTGGTTTTAAAGCCTTTACTTTAAAATATACGCCGTTCAATAGCTGAGCTTAATCTTACAGAGAATGATCAAAGCTCATGTAGAAACAAACAAACAAATGAACAAAATATGTTCTCCTTCATTTCTGTCAAACAAAGCTGTATGAAACGTTTCCAGCTGTTAGTATCATGGTTGCTAGGCAACCTGGGCAGCGCGACGGAGGCTAGACCGTCCCATTTCACAAGCCTCGCACTTCCGGCCTTAGCGGTCTTTGAGTACGCGGCCCTTGTGGACCGTTAAGGCTGCGTACTTTAAGGCTGCAGACCCTGAATTGGGATACAGCCTGGATAGTACCGTTACCTCACAACGACAGTGGTCCTTTCAGTTTGCATCCCAACTTAGGTGAAGGGGGACAATTTTTCTTCTTGTTAACAAGAAGAAGTTCAATATCTCTACCTGCTGAGAATTTGCAGTGAGAACAAATCTTCCATGTTCTCATCCAGTCCTGTGTTTTAAAAACGACCTTCCCATTCCACTAAACAGCATTTTTAAATACATCTCAGGAAAGCAGTTTTGCAGTTTTAATACCTTACATTTAACAAGATAGGCAGTGTCATCCAGCCAAGTAGAGTTTGACTTCCAGCTACTCACTCACTTATTTTCAGATTAGATTTTCTTTCAAATGTAATTTTCATACTCCGTGTTGTTGTGTTGTAGGCACCAAAACTATCAAGTTTTCATTGAGGGAAAGGTTTGGATTCAAATACAAATGTTCATAATGTTAACCACATTAGAGGCTTGAGCTCCATTTTCTGCAGCATAAGCCTGAAAACATTAACAGAACTAAAAAAAATTAAATAAAAAACTAAAAGTCAAATATTTTCACAGTTTAAACATTTGGATCCGTGAACATGACTTACACTATTTTTCATTAACTTCTCCCAAAACGGTTAAGTTAACAAAAAAAAAGTTAAAAACTCAGTTAAAAACCTGAAGGTTGAAAATGTGCTTCCTATCTAAAGTCAACATTTATTTCTGGCTTTGAAAGGGAATTTTTATATATGCAGCCAGCAAGTTTGCTTTTACTCCCGTTCCTCATTTCTTAATCACGCGTACAGTCTATGACCACAAAGAAAGAAAATAAACAGAAAAGCCACGTTGATAATAAAGGTGTCTGTTGAAAAAAGAATCCACGAAAAAAACAAAACACATTTCCCTCTAAATCAGAATTCAGTTTATGTGAGTGGGAATGTAATTTTTCTGAGTCGTGGCTCTCTTGTCATATTTATCTACATAGAGACAAAGAGACAGATTTATCTCTCTGCTTCTGCTGTATTCATCACCATTAGCAGTTTATTCGCTGACATAGTCGTTACTACATTTACTCTGTTTCCTTTGCATTCATAAATCCTCATAACAGGAGCTCACACAGGAAGTGAAGTGTAGAACAGCGGTCTCCAACCTTTTTTGCGCCACGGACCGGTTTATGCCCGACAATATTTTCACAGACCGGCCTTTAAGGTGTCGCGGATAAATACAACTAAATAAAACTAGTACCGGTACTGAAAAGTTATTCATAACACACGTGAAAAGACCCAGGAAAACCGAGTTAACGATAAAAACGATAAGAAAATAACGCTGAAAACCGATAAAAACCCTGAAAACCATACATTTCACATCTGAGCCTCAACTCTCGCGGCTCGGTACCAAACGACTCACGGACCGCTACCGGTCCGAGGCCCGGGGGTTGGGGGACCGCTGGTGTAGAACATGTAGGGTCAGCACTCCCACATACTCCTGCAGTGTACAGACACACCAGCACACAGACTGACCGGAGCCCTGACCGGTAGATGGTGCAGAGGTGGTGCTGTGCCTGCCACGGTGATGGATTGTGGGGTACACACTCAGATATCCGTGTACACTGACCATGAAGGGGATGGATGAGCTAATGTTTCCTGTGGCTTCTACCACCATGCCTATTACTTTGTTGTCTTTCCCGTTATAGAGCCCCTTATCTGACAGATTTCTCATTACATTCAATCTCAGTGTAATTCCTCTGGATCCCTGTATATGTATCTGTTAGGCTCAGGGAATGACCTGAATGGAGTTGGACAGCTCCTGTGGAAAGATGAGTTGCGGTCAAGAGGCTCCACTAAAAATGATTTACTAAGCTGTCACCGGAACCAAATTAACCTGGACTGCATTTGACCGTGTGATTGGTACTTTAAACTAGATGGTAGTTGTTTGCCTCCACAGCTGTTTTCAGGCTGGATGCCTGCTTAAATTTTCCAGAGTAAATAAATGCACTTGCTTATTTTCAAAAGTAATTAGTTACTTAGTTACTTTTTAAAAACACGATTTACAACATGTATAGCTAATAAAACAATAGATCTTTCAGCCCAATTCTACTTTTTTTGCATAATCAATCATATAAAATGTAATCAAATGGAAAAGTCTCTTTTTAAAACTTGTTTTGTTAGTTTTAATCTTTTAACTTTATGCATCAAGCAAACATTAAATGATATGCAACATTCTCTGACTGGAAGAAATTAGTTGAACATTTAAACCTATTTTCTGCACATTCCAGCACATAAAATAAAATAGTTGTTTGTGTTTACACTCACTCTTTCTAATAGATGTGAGTAAAACACAGCAGAAAATAAATAAAATCAAAGACTCAGCGGTCCTGTTGCTCTATTTTCACCTGTTTAGAAGGAGTAGGGCAGGCGGAGGTTTACCCTGGTGCAAGTGTGTTGTAGCGGTCAGTGGAAGGATCTGGGAGTTTCACATTCCCGTGGCAGCGTACTGTCGGTGCTTGCTCAGAAGTTTAGGGGGTTTTTCGCTGTAAAAAGAAGTTTTCATCCCACGCAGTGAACAGCGGACTAAATGTTTTTGTCACTTTTTACGGAATCAAACTCAAAGTAAGGTCAGTACTTCCACGCTTTAAACGCTGCACGCTCATACTCTCTCCCGCACTCCATATATTATCCATTGTTGATCTGCACACAGCTGTTGCCACGAACGTCGCACTTGCTTACGTCACTGTCATGAGACACTCGTCAAAAAATCACGGTTTTAGTAACGCAGTAACACAGCATGCTTACGGGGAAGTAACAGTAATCTAATTACCTTTTTTGCAGTAGTAATCCCTTACTTTACTGGTTACTTGCAAAAAGTAATCGGATTACAGTAATGCGTTACTTGTAACGCGCTATTGCCCATCTCTGCTGAGGAGCATAGCTATCCATGGTTGTTTCAATGAATAACTTTTAATAAATGTTTCCAAGTGTTTAACACTTCTGCAGTGGCAAGCACAAAGACTGTTAATATATGCCTTCAACATCTTAATGCGATATGCTGTGGTGGTTACTTGTGGATATGGTTTCTAGTGCTTGTGTGGCAGAGAAAAGTGTAAAGGTGTAAATGGAGTCAGACTCCTGCATTAAAATGCAAAAACAGGTCTCAACTGAAGTCCAAACTAAACAACCTCTACAAAGTAAAGACATGCAAAAAAAAAATTGAAACAAACATGAATGCAGAGACACAAGAGGCCTAGCAGAACACAGGAGGTCACTGGGAAATAACTCTGAGCTTGCCACGCAGAAAATGCACAAAAGGCAAAGAGAAGGTAAGACTATAAGTACACCGGGAACGGATCGGGGAATGAGAAACAGGATGGGGACCAGACGCAGGTGAAACTGTGTCCAAATCTGGAGGCTGCATGTTTCGAAGGACGTGGCCTACATAGGGCACACCTTCACAGGCCACAAAAACTTCAGAGACCGGAAGTGTAGCCTATCAGCGCTGCCTCTGTTGCCTAGCAACCATGAAACTGGCAGCTAGAGAGGTGTTGGAGAGAGATGGAGGACAAAATCCCTAATGTCATGTAACTTGTATGAAGCCAAATTCAATGTTATAGAGCGATATACATTTAAATGCAGTGATTGCTTCACTCAGACTGTCAGTCTGACCTCCGAATGCAACCTTCAAAGGATGCAGCCGCTGAATTTGGAAACACTTAATCAGCCAGTGAAGGGAAGACAAGAAAATAAAATTATCACATGACATGAAAGAAAATTAAGCTTCAAAGCAAAACACGGTGGAACCAGAAGAACCAGAAAGAACATCCGAGAACAAAGTTAGAAACACACAGATGAAGGAAGAGAAACACTGACATCAATAACAAACCCAAAATATAAGAAATAATAATAATAAACAAGGAACTGATAACTGAACATGTGAAATCGAACTTAAATGATAAAACTAAAGTATAGTATTAGCAGAATGGTAAAGTCATCACAGCCAAAACCCCAAACATATAAAAACAAAAGTTCAAAACTTTAACCTCAAAATGACACGTGGTCACTATTCATGTTCAGGGATGTTTGGAAAATATAAATAAAATAATAATAAAGCCTGTAAGAGTGCGGTGTATGGGGCACAGAAATGTGACAAAATCTTTTAACTAACATTAAGTCTTAACTTTCTGAATGAAGTAAGCAATCTATAATAACAAAATCTGGGTTGATTCATTATAAAATGTAGATTAATCAAAATCATGTAACATACCCTCTTTAAGTGCTGCACACTCAAAATAAAGAAGCTAACTCCTGTTTCTTATTGACCTCTAAGCCTCTGGTAATAGAGGTATTCTTGCCCTACTTGCCTCTCTCTGCAGAATACAAGCAGTCATTGGCCATCTGTCTATATGCAGCTTACATGATAGAAGTGAGGAGACCGACTCTTTCCTGCTGCTGCAACCGGAGAAATGAAATGTGTGGGTGGAGTGTAATTGCATCTCCAAGGAGTTGAGCTAACACTGATGTTATAAGTCCTGTCAGACAACTCCAGCACTGAGCAACATTTTACTCTGAATGTGTAAAATTACTCCTTGGGAGCTGAAATAAACTCAGAAATGTTCTGTACTCAAACTTTAATACTTTGTTTTTTTGCTGTTCTACCCACAACAGAAAAGGAATCATATGGAGAGTATCGTGTAAGACAAAATCTTATACTCTGTAGATGTTAGCATCTTTTTTTTAAAACCAGAAAACAGCTTTGATACTGGGAACAGCGTCTTAGTGTCCTCGTTTCTCACTCCAGCTGACCTTCATGTCTCCTCATCCTCCTTTCAAACTGGACCTCAGGGTCCACTGAAGCCTCAAAACTCAGGCGCAATCGTCTTTTGTTAAAAAACACTGCATACACTGCATAACCTCAAGACCCGATCCATTAAAAGCCACCTGGGACACAAACACACACACCCTGTGAGCTGTACTCCTGCAAAAACATCACGACAACTTTGACAAATAACAACTCTGTCTGCTGACTCTGAAAACAGCTGAGGGTCATTTGCACTGTTACAGTTTGCAGTGGAAATGGAGAGAGGAGGGGAATCTATGAAATTGCCATTAAAGGAACTGCTTTACAGGAAGGAGACGACTGAATGATGAAGCGCACAAATTCACTTCACAGGTTCCAGCAAATCATTTATGGCTTCATTGAAGACGGGAACACAACTTTATTAATGCATTAACATGAAGTAGGTCTATTTTGAAGTGTTTGGTGCACGGTCAGCAAACAGTCTGCACTATAGCTGAGTGAAAACACTCGACAGGTGGAAGCTTTATCTTTCCTTTCCTTTTGGATAAAGCTTGTAGTAAGAGCTGGATCAGGTGACGCTGAACCATCCTTATAGACTCAGGCTGCTGGGGGACTTCCCATCATGCACAGAGCACTCCTCCTTCACTCCCCTCTTTTCACTTTTCCACCACCACATGTCATTACATTTAACTTTCCTCTCTCCTGTAGTTTGCATTTTTCCTGTTTGTTGCTCATGTTGTCTCTTTCTTTCCTTTTTTATTCTCCTTTTTTCCCTCAGGGAGGGGCAGCCATCTGCAGATACTGGCCCCTGTGAGCAGCACTCGGAAACAGTGCTGCTCACAGGGGATAGTCTGTTGGTTTTCTCTAATAATGGCGTTTTTAACCTTACAAAGCACATTGGAACACCTATTGTAAATACATTCTGTGAAAATGAAGGTTAATCAAAAAAACTTTTCCATCAAAGATGTATGAACAACAATTTTCACTGCAGTTTCATGAAATGGTCCCAAATTATTCCGGCACACAGTCTGATGGTAGAGCATCGTGGTCGGTGTAATAGTTCATGTTCATGGACATAAGCCATGTACCTCCAGGCTAAAAGAGCAACAAAGGCCAAATTAGGAAGTGGAAGATCATAACTTTCTGATACACTACCGTTTGAATCCCACACCTTGCTTCAGATTACTTGCAGCTCCATAGTGTAGTGGTTCACACATTTGCCTAACAACCAGAGGCTCCCCAGGAGAAGACACAAATCCTTTGGGGGTTGCATCAGGAAGGACATCCGGTGTAAAATCGTCCAAATCAAATACACAAAGCTATCCGCTGTGGGGACAGCCTCGTTAATTTCTTTGTTATTACGACTCAAAATAAATAAAGGGAAGGCAGCTTGTAACTTGGATTGATCGATATCTTTGTGCACTTTTTTTAAAACTACAAATTGTAGGTTCAGCTGTTGTTGATGTTCAGCTTCACTTGCTGCTGAAGCATTCTTACTACATTAATGAACATTTCATGGTTCTGTTTAAAATATGTTCACCTGCTAACTGAAAACTGATTTATTAGGTTGCCTGTCGTGTAAAGACACACGACGTCAGCATTACTTTTAAACCTGCGCTGAGCGACACAAAGAAAATGAGGGCAATCCTGTGTTTGTAAAGAAACAGATCATATTCATCACTATTTCCTGATTGGCCATGAGACTGCACTGATGTGAAAGGTGTGCTTGAGTGTTGATTCCATGTTTCTGGATAGTACATCCTTTTTCCAGATCTCTGTGGTGGTCACCTGACAAAAGTTTAAATAACTCGTAGAGTAATTTGGCCTGGAAGATGGTCGACACCCTGCTAGATTTGTACGATCTATGAGTTTGTAATTCCTACATCATTGGTTCCAAAATGGTGTGCTGAGGCAAATCCAGGTATGCTGACATTTATGACCACCGTGTGTTTTGTTTTTGGAGCATACCACAACTTATCCTCACTGCAGTCTATCTGTAACCTGAAGAAATAAAAGATGAAAAACTAGCAGCTCTCAAAGTTCAGAACTTTGCAAAAACGACCCGTCTGAAAGCTTCAGCGGTGAGGTCAACAGGCCTTGGAAGCTAAACATCCCCCCTCATGCAAACTGAGATCCAAACAAAACCCATTTATATCAACTATACCACCCGTGGATTGAGTGCATTTGCCTGACTCAAGGTATATGTCATGTTCAAGCTTGTAAGATGTAATTTTTGCTTTTATAAATAGTTAAATGACTTTTGTCATCCTACCTGAGATGTGATGACCTCTATGGATGCCATGAAGCGGTCAGCAATGATGGACACTCCCAGGAACATGTACATGAGTGACAGGAAGTAGACCACAGCTCTGGCCACCTGGTAACCGACTCCAGGGTTTTCGGGGTACCAGACAGGTAACAGGATGCCCGGCTTGCACACGGTCACCTCATCACACTTATCCCCAATGCTGGGTGATGTACTATTATCATTAGATATGGAAGGCAGGACGGAGGAGGAGGGAAATATGGAGGGCAAGGCTGTTCTTGGGTCAGGGTTCATGCTGGGGTCACTGCGCTGGGACTCTGGCTGGCAGGGTGGCAGTGGAAGGAGGAAGAGGAAGAAGAGGAGGAAGGGGGCAGGAGAGGCGGAGAGAGACATCACGACGTTTGATTCCCACGAGAAGCAGGAAAGACGAGGCAGAAGATGATGGGAATAGGCAGAGGAAGAAGAAGACGGGAACGGGAGATGCTGGGTACAGCCGAGGGTGCTGCGACTAGCTCACCTGCAGAGGGGGGAGAGAGAACGAGAAGGAAAATCAGGATTAGTTCATGAATAAAGAGAAGAAAAGGCTTTAAAAGCTGTACCGAAGACCAAACAAAGAGTGCATTTGAAGCTTATGCAACATTAAGCAAACACTAAAAGAAGTGTCTTCTATGCTGTCAGACACTTTTTAATGAAAACACTGAGGGAAGAATAGAAAGGAGAGAAGAGTTCTGGCTACGCTAGGGTTTAAAAATCACACAAACTTTTTACAGTTGCATCTGTGGTTTTACCAAAGTTACACAAATTTACACCCTTCTCAGCAAAATGTGTCAGTGCTGGTGTGAAGCCAGTTCTGTGGTGGAGCCTTGAGAGCCAGCCAACATTTCGACAGGTTTCAGAAACGATTCTTACACAGCTTTTGTAGGAAAAGGTGTGAAACCCTTCAGAGGATAATAACACAGAGGTCGTCATCAGCATGAACTCTACACCTTCAATGCAATAGTGAAATTCTCACTGTAGCCCCTCCCATAGTCACCATCCGTCTTTGATATTATAAAGGTATGGAACCACTAAGCACTGATCTATACATGCATCCACCCACCCAAAGGAATTAATGAGCATAGATACAATATTCATTAACTGGCACTCCATTGGTGGAAACTGGGTACCACTCAATATCCACACTGCTGTCTAGTTCCAGCAAGAAAATGCAGCTCAAAGAATAATGATGATGCAGTTATATCTGGCTCTGTAATCTTACTGTTTCAGCCCAGCAGCGCTGTGATAGACTTACAACCTTTCCAGGGTGTACCTCAACTCTCCACATCACAGCTGACGTAGGCTCTATTTCCCCACGACCTTAAACTGGATTATCAGTTAAGAAAATGAATGGATGGATGTTTTAACTAAGAAGTTTACAACATGTTCCTCATTACACACTCAGTGGCAGCAATGGCAGTTGCTTTCCAAAATTAATTTCATCTAATTAAAATTCCAGCCCTGCACTTGGCTTGCTCTGCACCCAAGAAATACTTTTTTGAATATTTGTAGATAGATATACGTCAGTATATTGATTTCTTTCTCTTTTTATTAAAGAGTTTCACCAGAAACAGTTTTGCCTTATTTATACGATGATGAAGTCATCACCCTTTAGATGATGACTTCACTGACCCTTATCTTTTGAGGAAAATGTCAAATTTGTCACAAAATCACACCTCTTGACTTTAGCTTTCATTTTTCATTTTCACCGTGCTGCATCTCTCACCCATGCGTTCGTTGCCTTCTCCCTGTAATGGCATTTAATCTAGAATGCCTAGCAAAGTCCTGGATAGGCGACAGGATGTCCAAAACTCGACTGCCAGGCTTTGCTGGCAGGACATAATGCCTACTCTCAGCCACCTACACTAGTGTATTAAATAAGATTCTCCTCCTAAAAAGTCCCTTCACAGTGTTCATTGCAGTATTCATTCCCCCTCTGATACAGGAGAGCTGTTCATCCCCTCTCTACATTGCTGTGGCACAGAGCTGTTTGTGATGGGGCTTCGGTGCTTTGGAGTTCTCTCCCGCTCCTCATTCAAGGAATAGAAACTCCAGAGCAATTTAGGAAAATCAACCTTTTCACACTGGCTTTTGTTCCCACTCAAAGTAACCTTACTTTGTTGTCCCCTTGATATTATTTTGCAGTGCATTTTATGTATGATGTTTTTGACCTTGCATTCATACTGTAGCTCTTGTTTTTCATATGAAAGCAGAAAATAACTGGATTGTGAATTATGTAAAGATTTCCCCGTAAATATAGACAAAGGAAGTTGTAAGTGAACGCTGGCAGGTATAAAAGGGTGGATGATGTAATTCACTCTTGAATGAAACATTGAGGTGAGTCACCAGAACACAGAAAAATGATAATATAGAGATAAAATAATTAAGGCTCAATAGAAAAAGCTGGAGCAGAAGGCTAAGTGGAAGAAAGGATGACAAATGCAGACAGAAAAGAATGAATAATGGATGAATATAGTAGTGTGCGACTTTTAGTTCGGTTTAGTGTTACCTCGTGTCGCATAAAAATCTTAAAAGCAGCATTTTTTCTATTGTTTACCTTGAACTTCAGATGGAAGGAAAAACAAGTGAGGCAGAAACCCGGAGCAGGGGTGAGAACAAACGGAAAAAGGACAAACAAATGCAAAAAACTCTGAGCGAAAACATGAGAGACAGAAGAAGAGAGGGATGGGAGGAAGAGAGTCAAAAGATAGAAAGACGGTACAAAGAAGCCGAGACAGCAGGGAGGACGAGTCGCCATGATGGCCTCCAGAAAAAGAGGCTTGTTTTTGTTTGAGTCATGCAAACCCAGAACTGCTCACCAAATGTCTTTCTGCTCTTTCCCTTTTAATTTGAGACACCAACACACTAACAATGCTAACGCTTGTCTGAGGTAAGTTTGTGTGTGCGTGAGCATGCAACGTCACTTCTGCCAACTGGTGAAATTTAGACCTCAGCGTGAAACCAAAGGATGGACAGATGGACCGAACAGTGTTTCCTGCAGTTTGTGCAGCAGTGCCTAATCTTCCACCTCGCTCTCCCTCTCACGCTTCATCTCTCTCCATCCGTCCATTAGTGAGGAGGGAAGCACCTGCTAACGCCTTCTGTTTTACAACATTACACACCTAATCTGCTCTCATATTAATTTGGTTGATGAAAATATGAAAATTATGCTCATATTAAAAAAAAAAGATAACTTCTATAATCCTGCTGTTTATGTTTCTTTTGTTTTTTTGTTTTTTAGTTATTCCATGAGAAGCAGGACTTCTGAAGCCATCAGATCACTGAAAAAGACGACCAGAGCTCTTTTTAGGCCAGGATCCAGTTTTACATTTACACAACAGCAAAGAAAGAATCACACTTCACACAAAGGTCAGCCAATTCAAATATTAGATGCCACCTTTACAAACATCATGCACGATTAGTTAGACGATTCGATTCTGTGTGGTTTCAGCTTGTGTTTGTATAAGAAGACATGTTTAGTCTCCATATTTGCTCCTGTGTATCTACTGCAGCCTGAGCCCAACAGGACAAAAGCAACAGTGTGTCAAAAACTGCTGTTCTGTCTGCAGTCGCTCGCGTAGCTGGTACACACAAGTTGTCCTTTGGCGGCATCATGCTGCACCAAAGTTTTTAAGCCATGAATCATCAGTCTGATTGCTGTAAACATCAGCTCCATAATGCTGCATGATGGATGCACTGGCACGGCTGTGTGAAAGAAGCAGCCGTTGATTAGTAGGTTCGTTTCTATGCACCAGCACTCATGAGGTGCTTTGTATTTACGAGCCATTCAGAGGGCAGAATCTGAAGCTGATTCATGTGTGCACACTTCCACAAGGACTGCGGTTCATAAAGGAAACACCGGCTGCGAGTAAGGTTTTATAAACCAGATTACAGTATGGATCCTACATATTGTTTTATAAACGAGGCTGAAGGACTGCAGAACACAAAATCAGGCTGTCAGGATAAAATGTGCTTTCCATTGTCTGCCTAGGAAAGTGTGCTTGTTCTCAAAAGAAAACAAAATAAATTTATATGAGTAGCTCCAGGCTGTCCTGTTGGACTGTTTCATATTAGACTTCAGTTATCAGCTGAGAAGCTTAACAGAGGCTGCCGCGAACCGGCTCTTAAGAAATATAACCGAAACTAAAAAGTGATTTTAGTGAAGATTTTTAGAAAAGAATACGGCACTTTTGATGTAAAGTCTGTAAAGACTAATATTTAATGATCATGGTAATAACAAAGTTTGTATGAATAATATTTACAGTCATTAATGGGTTAATTTTCTAGATTCCAGATGCTTCTGGACAGGTCTCATTTTGCCTGACTTTAAATCAGTCAGCTGATATTATACTTTATGTTAATAATGTTATACTTTATGTTAATAGAAGATCTGACTAGAAGACATGTGTACATGTATGTGGAAACCATCAGGCTGAACACTTCCAAACCTCGGTGCAGTTTTTGCTGTCGGACAGAAATCACTGCTGACTAGAGACTTTCAAAAGTGATAAAAATGACTGACTTACTTTGATTGTGGTGTTGACTAAACTGCTCATAAGACACAAACATTTCCAGGATGTCTGACCAGAAATAAATGTAGAAAATTAGACGTTGAGGCTCATGAGAATCATTTTGTTGTTGGGTTGAAACATTTAGACTCAGAAAGAGCCATAACCCAGCCCCTGTAACCCGGTGACTAAAACGCAGGTAAGAGAGAGGAAGGAGAGACTGAGGATTAAAATGTGCTCTGATGTATGCATGCCTTTCAGTATAATGAACACTTTAACATAAATATTACTGCTGAGGTTATTTTTTTACTGAGCCTTTCACAACAATGAGCAGAAATTAGTTTTTTATTGTGCATATTAACCATAAAACCACTCAGTGCATTTCTAAAGACAATTCTGTGTTTTTAAATGTGCTTATGTGGGTAAACTAATGATAATAATTACACTGAGGTATTTCATTAATCAGCTTATGCGAGCACCTCCAGATTGAAATGAGAGCGATGATTAACAGACTCCACTGTGATTCAGCAGAATTAGATTAGCTTCAGTATCTTTTGACTGACTCACCTAGACTGCTGCAGCATTTACTCCCTGCTTAAAAATGCAATTTGAAGGAGTTTAAAGAAGAAAATGATCTACAGAAGATTTTATGGTTTATTGTAAAAACACAAATGAGCAACGTCTACAGAATAAGCCAAAACACCAAAGAGCATGCTTTATGAGTCAGTATTTATGCACAGACAGATGGGTTGTTTAGTGAAAAGTTGATAATATAAAGATGGATGAAGGTCATTTATTGAGAACTGGAAAAAGTGAGAGATGGGTGGGAAACGAGAAGGATGGGCACTGAATAAAAGAAAGACGAGAAGAGTTGTGTAAAACCCAAATGGGAAATTAGAGATAAAAAAAATGGGGCCAGCAGGGAAGGAGGAGTTAAAGACAGGAGATGAAGAGAGATCAAAGAGGGAGGGAA